GAGCGTTTAATCAATTCGGGGATAGGTAAACGTTGTTTATATCTGGGTCTATAAACCTTTACTTGGTTTGGGAATAGGCAAGTATTGGTTGGTTGTTTGAGCATGTATGCATTTACTTGTTAAGTGGAACCTTATAATTGGATCCTTTCCGTCTGCAGCGGATGCTGTCGTATATTGCAATGTTGCGGGGGGTATATTGGCCCGTAAAGATATTGAATGACAGAAGACAACAACAAACAAGACTTGAGTAAAAAAAATATGTGTTATCAACGAAAACGCACTAGGGAAAAAAAGAAATCACTGCATGCTCATGTAGAGGGTGAGAAGTCGCTGAAGAGCGTTGTCCTGAAAAGGACAGTTTTGTAGTAGATGAAGAGCGTTGTTCTTAAAAATGCTGCTGGCTAGCTGGAACTGCTGCTGATAGCTGGAGTCATGGGCCACTTGCTGGAAGAGATACTACACTTTGATCCTAGTCATCTGGAACGCGGTAGGTAGGATTTACCCCAGTCTCACTATTGAGGTGAGACGTGACACAAAGTCAAGTTGATGTGGGGCATCTCTCAGTATTTTCCTCCAGCTGCGCCTCTCCCCGCGGACAGAGCCACAACTGAGTTGTACTCTGATTGAAGAGAGGAACGCAACTGAAAGATGTTTATTTATCGCTGTAAAATTACAGTAATTGTGACACAAGGCCAAAAAAAAAGGGAAATGGCTGAGGCTGGTCCACACTAACTATCCTATACCTAGCTAATCAATCTCACGACCCATCCATACATTACAATTTACTCACTCACCATAAGAATCTATCTGTCACCATTCACTCCTGCATACACCAAAATACCTCACACACAGGGAACTTACAAAAAACGTCATGACATAAAAACTTTTATGTAGATTGTGTATGTCTGTTTTACAAATACTTTCATGGCAATTGCTCCGAGGAGCTGCATTCGCTGGTTCCCAGACTTCATTAGTTCAAGCGCCCTACGAGGCTGGCATCCCGCTCTCATCACTTCACTGTCGAAACTCCTAAATGTAGCCGTCTCTTCAACTCCAATAGCTTCATGTCTCGCACCTCTCGCCTGTGGAACTCCCTTCCCTATTCTAGTTTCCCTGGGAGCTATAATTTCCAACTATTCAAATGTAATGTCAATCGATATCTCCAGTTGCCTTGATCTATCCACTATCCTTCTCCTCATCCTTTCCTCTATCACTCCGATCTGATCTTGCTCCAAATCTTCTGTAACCTCTTGCGTCCTAGTGGCTTCCCACCTTGCTTGGGGTGAAACGCTTAAAAAAAATGAAATTATAAATAAAAATATACCGATGCTATGAAATGAGAGGGAGGGGATGAACCCGAAAACAAACTGAAAGATGACAAAACACACAAAATAAAAATAACTGATGTTAGTAGGATCCGTCGACCCCTCGAAAATAAGAGTGGCCGCTGTATTCTGTCTTCAAATAAAATCACCAGTGGAGAGGGAAGGATAAAATAAATACGGGCATGGGGAAATCAAAAACTGACCCAGTCGAGGTGAAAAAGGGAAGAAAAAAAAATAAGGAGGTTGGGAATCTTTATTTGGATCATAACTAAAGGGAAAGTGTGACAAAGGACCGAAACGGCACTTACTCACATTACCTAGATACACAAGAAGAGTCTATCTAAACCAGATGAGAGCACCAGAGGAAACCACACCGTTGTGACTTAGGAAGACTTTAAAAAAGAAAATCAAGGCAAGCTCCGTTCACGCGAATCAGGCTTGCCCTATTTACCCAACTTTCGCTGAAATCTGTCGACACCAGACGCTTTCTATCCGTTCTGATCTTCACCTGAGCTGAAGCTCAAAGAATCTGGCCAGATCCTGATGAGAATAGCGTTCAAATCGCATTATTTCCTCAATCCGCGTCGTCCAAATCACCATTCTAGCTACGGCTATCAGCGCCAGAAACACCATCCGTTTAACCCTAGAATATGGGAGTAACACATTGCCACATATGCGAGATCAATGAACACGAGCTTTTTGAGAACGATAGGAGCTCTCAACTCGCCGACATAGTCCCAGAAGGGGCGCATTTGAGGACAATGATAGAAGGCGTACAAAGTCGTTTCCTCTCAGCCAAGGTCATACCGATGACAATCAGGCAAATCCGCCAAGCCCCATTTGAAAGTTACGTTATTGAGAGATAGCCTATTCAGAACCAATCGCCAGGTAAGCGAAAACTCAGGGTTGCTAAGTTAATCCGCTGCTGGCGTCCAAGACCAAAAAGAGTGCAACTCGGCTACCGACAAGCCGAACCAGTCGCAGAGTGGCTCGTTTGCGACCCCCTCACTAATTCTCGATACATGACTCTCTTAGGCCAAGATAAGTCACTGGACCGAGGAATGACCTTCAAGGCTGTTCGACATTCTTTGAGAAAAGTCAAGTGATTCCGGGGCTTACGACGGCGCTCAGCCCTAGAAATGCAAGGAGTGATGGTAGGGCTAAGGAAGGCATCTCCTTTAAATCCTCTGTCAACGCGCGGCGTAGGAAAAGCCTACCTCGAGGCGTGTCGGTGACTCGCCAAGTGTGGCATTCCCAAACCCCATGATACGGACGTCGACGTGATGCTTGTGTCCACCCCACAAGAGAGAGGAGAGCAAGTGCTCTCCTTCTTACGTTCCCGACAGATAGGAAGTACAGCCAGCCGGTAAATGATGAGAAGACAGACATAAGCGGCACCCACTTCAGCTCTACCCTTCAAGGACCAACTGCCTTCGGAGCCAAGTCGCGACCGACGCTCCAACCTTTGCTTGCACTTCTGAACAATTTTTCTCCAGCTGGAGTCCAGGCCCGAACCACACTCCGAGAATGCGGACGCGCTCGTCAGTCCAATCAAAGGACCCCAGAAGATCAATTCCCTTCCAAACACCTAATCACAAGCCGGAAGACTTGTCGCGATTAATCTGGGCCCCCGCGATCTTTTTGCACAGTTCAAGCGTTTTCAGCACTACCTCAATGTCACTGCGGGACGACACGAAAGTGGATGTGTCATTGGCGTACGCAGAAACCCTGGCTCGAGCCCGACCAGGGAAAGCGATTCCACATAGGACTGGACTTCAGTCGGCGAAGGAGGGGCTTCAACGCCAAAGCGTAAAGTAGGGGCGACAACCCTGACGAACCGATTGAGAGAGCACAAAAGGGCGCAACCGCTTTCCGTTCACCTATACCACAGCACTGGGGGGAGCAATAAAAAAGGCTGACCCACTTGCAGAAGTCGGGTTTGAATCCGGCAGTCATGTACCGATGGTCGATGCTACCAAATGCATTCGACTGATCCAAATTGATCAGCGCGGCTTGCTCGTTGTCATTTACACCCTTTAGGATCGTGCGGATCTGATGCAGGTTGCTCTGAATTGTTCGGCCCTTCACAACACAAGTCTGCTCCGGAGATCCATTCGGGGTCGGACCCCTGGCGGAACCAGTTGTTGAACGCATCTGAACAAAGATGTGCGACAACCTCAAGTACAATTCGTAGGGCAAACCATCAAGTTTCGGATACTTACTACCCGCCGACCCTCTTCAATGCCAAGTAGTATCGACCTCAACGGATCTTTTCCTTGTGCAATTCAGCGACCATTTTCAGAGTTTTAATTCATCGCCCAGTTTCAGAGTTTACCAGACACTGGTAGCGATGGCTATCCGCGCGCCGCAGGACCTCCATAGCTAGGCCTATCTCTAGGGAATCCCCAACCACCTCCCGAGAAGACTATTCTTGAGAGCCTTCACCTTTTTCATCTTATCTAGTGCGAGCTGCTGGCTATATTCGGTGGTGAAGGACCTAATCCAACCCTTAAGTCTCTCCTACACCCTATTCCAATTGCCCACGCCCACTAGTTCCCGCTGCACTAAATTAACTAGCTGTTGCCGGAAGTACAGCCTGTCCAGTAAAGACAGATTGAACTTCCAGCATCCAGCCATTTTAGGCCTAGCGTCTAACAGCAAACGGGCACAAACAAGTCTGTGGTCCGAATAGCTTAACCAGTGGAACGTTGGACAATCTAGCAAATCTACATCGGCCCGTCAACGTAACTGAGAGATGATAACCGCGGCAAATTTGTTTTTATTCTTTCGTTGCTATGAGGCTTGTTTATATCTTGGGTCAGTTGTACAACGATCGCTGGTTAAGCATTTTTCTTTCGGTTATTTTTTTTGAAAAATGTGGAAGTGTCGACAGGATACGACACGAGGCTCCACCGACATAGCAGTCACTGCAGGGATAGGTAAATATTGGTAGTTTAATTTGATTTCAAAATCATTTACATGATTCGGGAATAGATCGATATTGGTCGTTTATATTTTGAGTCTGTAAGTATTTCGTTATTAGATTAGTCCCTTTTGTGAAGGTCTCACTCCTCTGTAGGCGATGCAGTCGGTGTGTTCTAGACACCGCCGACAGGGAAGTAATTAATACTATGAAATAAATTTGGTAGAGATCTAATTTCTCCGTGGGAACAAAAAAAAAAAAAAGAAGTTAAATCTTTCTCCTTGGCCCAAATTGATTATGCCTACCAAATTTGAGGGCATGAAAACACTTGGCCATGTCTCGTGAACAGAGAAACTCTTGTAATCTTGCTGTTTGTCATTTTGACTGATTTCTTCCGGTTTGCCAATTCTTACTTTCGAAAAGGTTTAACAGCAACGAATCTAACCGGATATTATTTTCTTTCATCAACTCCGAGGACGGGAAGATAATTTTTTTAATAAACGACCGCATTGCTTTTGGTCTGTTTATCGAATAACGCTACAACAAAGATAATTACTAAAAACTTGAAACTTTTAATCGGCACTTAACATATTCATTGATTTATACGTAGGTACATAAATTTCGTCTCCTGATGGTGAAAAGGAAAAGCATTTATTTTATATAAAAAATATTAATTTTGAAATTAATATCCTTTTTTTGCCAATAAAATTCACTTAGTCGGGAATATTAATAACATCGATCTAGGCTTACGATCGCATCACATTGAAACACCGGTACAATCACCGAAGTTAAGCAACGTCGAGCTTGGTCAGTACCTAGATGAGTGACCGCTTAGGAATACCTGGTGCTGTAAGCTTGAATATACAGGGTGATGCAATGGATAATGGCTCGGAATTGTTAATGAGAGAGTCGAGTTCCAATTCCAGTTGGGCATGTTATATTCACTGACGCGCAAATATCCTTGGGAAAGGGATTGATCCACCTTTCCTCCCCTAGCTATGGGTTAATTAGTAAGTCTTGTATCACTAAATCATTATTATCTGCTATCCATCTCCCTAAAAATTCTTGCATTCTAAAACTATTTTCTGGCTTTAAAAACACCTGAGAATGATTGATAAGCCGTAGAAAACGAATCAATCAATAAAAAACATCGATCTAACAACATACAATGCAAATTTCGGATCAAAATTCAGCTAACGATTACGTGTTAGTTTACAAACTTATTAATTTTCCATCATTAAGAGACAAAAAGATGCAACAGTACATTAGATTAGCCTCTCCTCCAATTGTTGATATTGAGTCAGTCATGGGATACATGTGTGACGTAATCGGTAAAGAGGTACTGTAGCTGTGACAGCCATGTGATGCGGAAGGGATTTAATATTATATTTCTGCAGAATGGCTGTTGGAACCAGAAATTTTAATATCTGAGATGGCAGCTGCCCTAGTTTTTCTTGAGCATCAGTAGTATGGATATACCATGAATATATGAATTCCGCGAGAAAAATACAAGCAAACATGTGAAAAATGTCGGCACTAACAGGGGAAGCAAAAGCATGACAACCGGCAATTGACAAGAAAATGGTGGTCATCTAACAAGGAAGAATATTGCATCAAAACACATCCCAATTCAGCGTACCGCAATTGTTCCATTCAACCCATCAGTCAACGTAGAGTAAAGAGCACACGGTATTCCATATAAATTCGTAGTCATCGGCTCACAAGTGTAGAATTAATTTTTTCACGGCATAGATTAACGTGCCTCATCTGGGCTACAGAACATCGCTACCGGCGCCATGTTGCCTGGTCAGACGTGATATGTTTCCAGCTCTTACATGTGGACGATCAAGTTCGTATGCGGAGAAAACCGCATAAGGCCATAGATCCAATCTGTCAACAGAGTGTTGTGCAAACTGGTAGTGATTTTTTAAATTTATTAGGTGTAATCTTTTAAACTTTTCAAGGAGGCTTAGTAAAACATATGTGTGACGTAAAGAGGTAGTATAGCTGTGGCAGCCATGAGATGAAGACAGGATTTAATAATGTTTAACCACGAAATGGACAGAAAGTTGGGACACTCAATCGCCGAGGTTGCAACTGCTCCAGGTTTTTTTTCCCGGGTAATAGTAGCAGGGATATTTCCGGAAAACATTAACTGCAAGTGAAACCTTACAGGCGCTCACAGCTGATGCAAAAACACGATTGCCGGCAAAGGACAATAATAGTGACCACCTAAGAAAAGAGAACGTTTCATCAAACCACATTCCAATTCAATGTACTGCAACTGTTCCGCTCAACTCATCAGTCACTGTATTCTATGTGGATTCATAGTCTTCCGTTTAACACGGTAAAGAATTTCCCTTGGATGTTACAAAGTGACGGACAAAAGGCAAATGGCCAGTTTACAAATATTTAAAAAAAAAAGCATTCATATTTCCCCTAACCTTGATATTAGCCAGTAACAGACTGAAAACGCTAGATCCCAAATATTTGTAAAAAAATTACCTCTGATGGGATATTTTTTTTCCTTTTCCACAATTAATATACACTACGTTTGTCCAGTCATGTGACTCCCAAAGACCAATCAACAGAGGTCTTTAGATAGAATACTCTTTTGGTAGACATCGCTAAGAATAAACGTATTCTTGACTTATGGGTAGACACAACCTTTTGTAACATGACATTCCCTATTTGTCACCAAAGAAAACCTTCTGTAACATCCACTAGATTTTCTTTTCAAGGTCGGGGAGAAGTCACGTAATAGATTTCTATACTTTGCTAGCATGTTCTCTTTTAAAGAAAAAGAAAAACTTTATTTACGTTCTTATGACTTCACTCTAGCTATCTTGATTCATTTTATTATAAACTTGCTTAAAAGCCACAATCCATACGGACTTTTAATCTAAAAATACTTAATTCGGGCTATAAGTCCAATTTTGGCCCAAAGAATGATTTGGGCCGAAGTTACTTGGGCCGAAATTTCAATTCAGGCCGAAAGTTGAGTTCTTCAAATCACGAACTCTGCGGAACTTCAAAACATTACATCACAAAACCTCTCACTTTAATTCTAATTCCTTGGAACTTTGAATAATATTGAATTCTTCAATTCACAAAGTTTTGTATATATTTTAAACTGAACAAGAATGTTTAAATTCACAAAGTTTTGTTTTACTTTAAACTCAATATAAATTTAAAATTTTTAAAATCACAAAATTTTTTATTATTTTGAAATTTGAATTTTTAACTGTTTCCTCCTCATTCAGAGACAAATCCCAATACTGGATGTTCAAGCACCAAATGAATGGCAGATTTTCAATTCTGGGATCATCCTGATTCGTAAAAGGCAAGTGTTGCCCGAATGAATCCAGAGAGACCTTCTCTTGTACATAGACAGGAAAAGATAATTAAATAAGTTTAAGAAATCTTTCTCTTTATTTTACGACATATGAATCTTTGTTGGGTTACTTAAGAACGAAATTTTGTATGGGGCATCCAGTAAGAATCGAATTCTCAGGTTAATCAGATTAGCCTCGTTAACCAAAACTCAACGTCAAACTACATTAAAATATTTTCTCTCGTCTTTACAGGGATATATGAATAAGAAATGAGATATTAGGTTGTCCCAAAAGTTCGTAAACACTTGCAAAAAATTGAAATTTTACTCGCCAAGTAATAACAAAAACAACAAAAATTATTCCTCAAAATAAAGACCATCATTTTCCAAGACTTTCTGTCATCGATCTGCAAGCTTTCGGATCTGGTGAAAGTACCATTCAGCCGGCTTCGAATCAAAGAATTCTTGACACGCTTCCTCGACTTCAGCAAACGAGTCGAATCGGCGGCCCTTCAGAAAGTGTTGAATTGAGCGGAAAAGGCCGTAATCTGATGGAGCACAGTCAGAACTGTAGGCTGGATGTGGCAGAACCTCAACGCCGTCCAGCTCTTCAAACTTGTCTTTGGTCTTCCTGGCGGTGTGTGGCTTGGCATTGTCCTGCTGCATCAAAGCGCGCTTTCCGTTGCTCAGAGCCGGGTACTTTTGCTTCAACTTTTCGTAGACCCGTTCCAGTTGCTGACAGTAAAGTTCGGCACTGATGGCACGACCATTCGGAACCAACTCAAAATGCATGATTCCTTCAAAGTTCCACCAAACGTACAACATGACTTTCTTGCCGAATCGATCTTGTTTTGGAACAGACGGTGTCTCTTGCCCTTTCTGAATCCATCGCTTATAAATGCAAAAAACAATTAAATAAAAATTTAATGAAATAAAATTTTTTCAAAATTAACAATAAAGTAAAAAAAACAATTAAAAATTGCATAAAAATTCAATTTTTTGCAAGTGTTTAAGAACTTTTGGGACAACCTAATATTAATTAATATATTACAAAAAAGCATGTAGATTGTTTCTTGAGGAGCATATTACCTTAGGATCCACGCACCCACATAGACATATAATGCACAATTAGCATGTGATGTATCTATCTGAACAGTCTTGAGCTGCAAGAAAGAAAAAAGTAAAACGCAAAGGAATTTTTACGTTTATTGATATCTGTTGGTTTTATCATATAGTTTCTAATATATCAGATTAAATTTGCGGCCATTTTTTGTTATCGTCGATGAAATTATAAATTTCCAATAAAATCAGTTGTTTTACTTTGTATATAATATAATATATAATAAACATAGCTATGAAAGTTGGAAGTGAACGTCTTCACTAATTCCATAATTTTGTAAATATAGTAAATGTTATAAATTTATTAAACTACCTTTTTATTAATGCTAAAATTAAAGATGTTTGGCTTTCGTTGTATAGATCAGAAAACTATGTTTTGCTTCGTATAATCAGATGCTATTAAGTTTGTGCCATCCAAGTTTTCTCGCCCATGAGATTAAAAGTCATCTAGCCACGTATCTCCCATCTTATTTCACTCAGTTCCCCCATGTTTTGTAGCCTAGGATCTCCCAAGTCTTTCATTCCAGAACGAACAATTTTTTTTATAAACAGGGCCTCCTAAATCATCTGGACCTAGGCTTCAGGGTCTCCTTAGACTTTTAGCTCAAGGCCTGCAAGAGTTTAATATACTAGGACCTTTTAACTTGGGACTTCTTAAATAATTTAGCCCATGGTCACCAGAGTCTTTTAGTCTAGAGCCTCCCAAGTATTATTAGCTCAAAATCTCCTCAGTACAGGGTTATTCTATGTTATTCTAGAGTAGGTACCTCCACAGAAATGCGATACATAAGGTTTAAAATAAGTTTAAAAAAAAATCCTTCTTGAAACTGATATTTGAGTTTTAATTTCAAGCTAATAGATTAAATTTAATATTTCCAATAAGCAAAACACTTTTCTGCATTCCAAAACTAATTTAAAGTTTTCGTATTGAAATTTCTAAAATCGCTGATTTTATCGCCATTTTTAACCATACCTCATCACAATGTGATTCTCTTCATTCGCCGGCTTTCACACAAGAAAAAGCCTCAGAGGCACAATTTACAATAGGAAGATTAAAAGATTTCTCTCCAAGGGGCACCGCGAAGAAAATTGTGAAATGAATCCCAATCGGTGCGTTGGTAACCGAAAGTAGTTTTTTGAACAGTGAGTTCGTGTCTAATAGACAATAGTCAAAGGTAGTATCAACAGACACTACAGCTTGGTTCTATTTGCCAAGATGACTGAGGTACAATGAATTCCTGAAGTCGAGGTACCAAAGTGGAAAGCCCATCAAAACAATTACCACGAAAATATTTATAGAAAATGCAAAGAGAAGTTACGGCGGTGGGTAAAAAGTGACTGAAGACGAGATGCCAGGTCATGACAGATAAGGTTGCAGATTCTTCTTTGAATTTTGAAAAT